CAATTTGGTACATACATTAAACATAATAGGACCTTGATGCACGTCATTTTTTTTTCGGATCAAGTTCGAAATAGCCGACTGGCGGCCATTTTGTTTTAATGAATTCAGTTCTGGATCCGTATCCGAGACATGTCTGGATTGATCAAGTTCAAACTTCACACACACAAGGTACATCATGTCACAAATATGTATGTGCATTTGTTTCATGATCTCATTAACGATAGCCAAATGGGGGCCGCTTTAAGGCCGAAAATGCATTGAAATCGCACATTTTCACCATTCCGGACTGTATCTCAGTTATGCATGGATGGATTTTGTTCAAATTTGGTACATACATTAAACATAATAGGACCTTGATGCACGTCTTTTTTTTCTGGATCAAGTTCGAAATGGCCGACTGGCGGCCATTTTGTTAAAGAATTCAGTTCTGGATCCGTATCCAAGACATGTCTGGATTGATCAAGTTCAAACTTCACACACACATGGTACATCATGTCACAAATAGATATGTGCATTTGTTTCATGATCTGCTTAACAATAGCGGAATGATGGCCATTTTAAGGCCGAAAATGCATCAAAATCACGTATTTTCCAGAACCGGATCTCAGTCATGCATGGATGGATTTTGTTCAGATTTAGCACAATGTGTTGTACATATGCAGGTGCATTTTGGTCATGATCTGCTTTGAATGTATATGTCACTCAAATATGAACGGAACGGGGACGTGTCATTGACAATGACTTGTTTTTTTAAAGTTCTGGGATGTGCACTAAAAAGAAGCTGAGATAATTGTAATTTGCATATTTTATAATTAAGTAAAAATATATGCTGATTCACATTGCCATTGGATTTAACCGAGTTCCACTAATGATTTTAATTTCAAATTTTCATAGAATACAGATGTTCATACAATGCCATAAAAATGTTAAAAAAAGTGAAATTTGGCAAAATTTGCATATTTCCCCTTCTAAAATTATTCAACAAATTTAGCAACAAAGATGTCACTATAAATCCTCCCACTGAAAACAAATCATTCTTCTTGGTCTTTGCCTTATCGTAAATATTTAGGTGTTAACTATAGTTAATAATACATAATTGACTAAAAACCTAAATTTGTCACTCCATTTGTGCCCTTAGCTATGCGGTGCACTAAATCAATTATAAAATGTATTTTATATTAAATTCAACTTATCTTGAGCTGTAGCTGTAGGTGATACTCGGTGTTATATTGTCTTCAATTTATATAACCTCTGAAGATATCATATTTTCATGTTTACTTAATCTTTCTCTTTCTCACTTTTAATGTTAAGGCTCTAATATAGTTGGTAAGTTTGTGTCTCTGTATAGATGTATAGACCATAGCAGTTGTTAGATCTTAACATCTGTATAGATGTGTGTGGTATATCGTTTCTTGTATAGATCATTGCAGTTGTTAGATCTTAACATCTGTATAGATGTGTGTGCTACATTGTTTCTTGTATAGACCATTGCAGTTGTTAGATCTTAACATCTGTATAGATGTGTGTGCTACATTGTTTCTTGTATAGACCATTGCAGTTGTTAGATCTTAACATCTGTATAGATGTGTGTGCTACATTGTTTCTTGTATAGACCATTGCAGTTGTTAAATCTTAAAGGGCACCTTCCAGTTAAGATTAATTTTACAACAAATTTACTTTCTGGATTAAAATAACAATGGATAACAAAAGATAGATTAACATTGTAAACAACATAAACAATAGTGTCCCATGATTCTTTGGTGCAATCCAAGGGATTGAGCGGTTCCCCTTTAACATCTGTATAGATATGTGTGCTACATTGTTTCTTGTATAGACCATTGCAGTTGTTAAATCTTAACATCTGTATAGAT